ATTAGATTAGATGGAAAGTACATATTTTGCCAAAATGAGGGGCTTGTAAAACCTGCTTTGTACCTAAAAGGCAGCCTTTTCACATAAGGACATCTGGTGAACTGCAGATTAATATTAGGAGCAGACTATGCTCTTTTAATCAACAGTGGGTTCAGGCCACTAATGCTGGTTTGGGATGTGACATTTAAGTACCATAAAGTTTGCTGCTATTTGGAATGGAGCATCCCTTCAGATTACTGACACAAATTATGTGTGCACACTTCTGAATTAAGCCTGTAATGTTTTTGGCACTATTGTATACTGAATGTGAATTGTACCAAATCCAAGATTGCTCTGCTTCTGGGGTTTTCAGAGGGATTTCTAATCAGTTCAGCAAGTACTTAAAATCTGTGAAGGGAGGTCATCTAGGAAGCAGCAGATGTAAACATTACAAGGTATAACCACTAGAAAATGAAGATAGAAAACACCACACAAGAAGGCCATTTTGAAAAGCAGTGAGCATTATGCACACTAACGGTGGGCTGAAGTTATGAGATCGAGGCCAGATTCACACATGTATCTCTTCCACTTGATGACTGCAGCACCAACTGGTGGCCTGCGTATGCAAATGAGCCATCATTGATCTAAGACCAGAATTAGACAATTCCTATCACTTCTCCACACTTTATACAGGGCAGAATTCAGTAAGGCTGCTGACTGGGTTGCATCAATCAGTTGTTCGTGCTGTAGGGAGTTAGAGCTTCAGAAAGGAAGCCTGGACATGGAAGAACACTCATTTCCGGGTTGAAACAGATCCTCCTTCTACAAGCTCTACTGACATGTCCATTCCAGAAATGAGCGTTTCTACTCCATTCTGAGTTGCTTTAACAGCAGCTGCCAAGCTCCCAATTCTTCCAGTGATAGGATCCACAGGTCATGTCCTGTTCCTGCTGCCTGTCATCCTTGGTGCACAACCATATCCAGATTTTGGGTGGGCTGAACTTAGAATGACTTATTGTGCACCTAGTCTGAGTTGTGCCTTTACCACATACAAAGATACAGGCAGAGCCATCTCTGTAATTACGGTGGCTGGGAAAAGTTTGCACTGATGTTTTGCCATGCATTTATTTGGTCACTCATGTATGACTCACCAGAGAAACAAAATGGTTGCTCAAAAAGTCACGCCCATATTGTGCATAATTTGAACCAGCAGTGTTTGTTCTTGTGTAGTTTTGTTCAGTAACTCAGTGCAAAACTCCGTGAATATTCTGTATACTTTTATAAATAAGTGGACTGAGCATGGCCATGGGGAACTGTCCTTCTTCCCTTAGCTCTAAAAATCAGAAAACTAACTAACCAGACATGCTGGGAAAACGATAGCTTCAGAGAAAAAAACAAAACAGTAAGTGGGAAATGCTTGCTACTTGGCTACAGTTAAACAACAATTGCATTATGAAACTGAAGGCTACTGAATGTTGGTTGATCTCTGACTGGATATTTGACCTTCAAAACTGGCGTATGGACAAGTTGCAAATAACACTGGGAGGAATAGAGGAATAAGATGACCCAGGACACTAACAAAAACTGGATCATTTCCCACAGTGCAGGAAAGGAAAGGAAAATGAATGAGAAGCTATTCAAATCAGGGTGATCATTCCTGAGGCGATGTGTTACCACATTGCATTCATTTGCTCTTTTATATCAGCAGTTTTCTTACTGCTTTTCCTCCTCTCTGGAGCAAGGAAGCAAAACCTATTTATAACCTTACCTATTTCTTCACTAGATCATGCTTCTCTTTTCCTTTGTGGTCCCCAAGAGCTTTCAAGGGCAACAAAAAAGATAGTTCTTCTCTGACCAATAAACACTACTTTAGATGTGGACAGAATTTTGTGCTTAGTAATATTCAAGTGTGCTTTTAGTGGCTATGTAAGGGGAATGGAAGATTTGGCATTGTGTAGTGAAAAACATTTTCTTCCAATATATCAGAATGTTTCACTGTGGAGAATCTGAGACCAAGCTTCATTTAGGAACTGCAATCTGTATTTTCATCTTTCCCGGAATGGTTTGCAAAGAAAATGCTTGCTAAAGAATCAGGCAATATATTGAATGGGCAAAGTCTTCCAGATCAATGAAAAAAAAGGACAAGTCCCAGCTTTTTCCATAAAAATTAACACTTCCCATGCACTTAAAAATGGCCATGCCCATCCAATGACCAACATATAAGACAGGGACAAATCTTTGCTTTGTAAGACAAGTCTTTGTAAGCTTTGCTGTTTCAGACATTCAAAGTTTCAAGATGCCAAGTTTTTTTCTCTCCAAAATAAAGAACTATGCAAACTTTCGTAAAGTTTTGTCAAGAACAAACTGAAACAAAATTCTCACCCATCAGAATCAGCTGAATTTAGTATATGCACTGATTCCTACCATGAACAAGACTGGGTTGTACTTGCTTGCCACATGCTGTTGACGATGGGGAGTCTATCAGAATAACACAGGTAGCCTAATTCAGTATTAACATGGCTGAATACATAGTTATTCAAAAGATGGCATCTAAGAGCAAGCTTTCAAAGCCCTGGGCCTTGATAGACAAATATAGTTTTGGTTTCTTCCAGGTTAAATTTTTAAATTTTGAGTTCTTTTTGTCCTCAGTATGGGAAACTTTGTGAATTTTGGTACATTCTTATCAAAACTGAACCAAAATATTGAAGCCTTCCCTAGTTGCCATATTTTTTCTTAGAAAGGGTTCCAGGGTCATTTCCAAGTTTTGGTCTATTTAAAAAAATGGAAGATGGGTAAAGATGGAATTATGAAAACTGAAGGCTTTGAGCTCCCTTTAGACCTACTGGCATTTTTAGTTGGAGATATAGAAGATATATTTCAAAATTGCAATGTGTAAATGGCTATTCATTTACTGACAGCTGCTGTATGGTGATACACTCAAGGTGGAAGAGGGTGAAAACTCCAACAATAGACAATTAGTGTATGCATATTTGGGATATAGTCTCTATGATGAAATAATGGGTAGAGAAAGGTTTTGCCCATTCCACAGCATCTGGAGGGCCATTGAATTTTTGGTATTCTTAGACCTGGGTTCAGAGAAGATCTCTGCACATAGATTGTCCTCCCATCCTTATAGCCAGCATGGAAAGAACAACACCAGCTGCTTCTCTGATGTGTACGTGCAACCTCAGCTAAATGGAGCTGGAGATCAGCACTACAAAGGTATGTTGCAAGCTGGTAGTGGCCAAGTCTCTTTCCCTTCCCCTCTGAAATGTTCCAGCCAAAATTGGCCACCTGGCTGCTTGGCAGAGTGGGAGAAGAAAAAAGATGACATTTATCCTTGCATTACTCCTGTTCTGCATAGGATGCCCATAATCCTCCAAGTTTAGAGGGCTACAGACATCCTGATTGGATTGAACCCAAATATGTTAAGAGACAGTGAAGGACTTTTAGGAAATCAATACTTTATAGGGGGAAAGTCTCTTTGTTTTATATTGGAATCAGAATGTTCAGGATTCAATGCAATCCTATTGGTATGAGTTTGATTAGATTTGTAAGTCTTCTTTGTGAGTATTTGTATGTATGAATAGAAGCAGTACAGAAGTTAATTGATACATTTATTTGGAATGATGCAACAAAAGAATAGCACAAGCTCAGAACTGAAATGAAACAAAATATTGTATGTAGAAAAGAACTGATGAAAGAAACTTTTGAGGCCAATACCCGACTTTTAGCAGCAAAGACACACAGGTCTGAGGTAAAATCAATTTATGGATGCTACTAGATGAAGAGAATTCATTGGGATAAAATAATTCATCTTAGTTCAATAGATAAAAAGTCTTGAATTTAGTCACTTTATTTTTCACATTATTACCTATTCCTCTTACTCTTGGAAAGCTTAATATTGTTGCTTAGTAAAAATTAGAGTTAAAATAGGAGCACAGCAGGCCCTAAGCATCCATAATGATAATGACAGTTTTAGATAAGTACACCACAGACCAAAAGAATTCTAGGTCAAAGTGCCTCCAAATTCAGGAACATAAAGAGCTGTAGAAACTATATAGCAGCAATAATATGATGGAATAATATGTGGAAAACAAAGAAACTCAGTTTCAGAGAAAAGATAGCACATCTTTTTGTCTCTGTATGAGCTCACTGAATCCATGCTCATAACAAAATGCTTTGAATTTGCAAAGAGGGTCGTGGGGTGGGGTGGGGTGGGGTGGGGTGCGGGACTAAGCTTCCCTCTCTTACCAAGCCACACACTTGCAGGTTTGCCAGTCACAGTCAAGTCTGGAGCCATTCTTGTGCGTGAATCAAGAAGGCCAACTGCCAGAAATAAAAGCTCCCCAAATTTACGGGGCTGAGTCAAGCTAGATCAGCCTTCCCCACCTCCCATCTCCTCTTGCCATTCATCAGGCTCGCTGGGGATAGTGGGAGTTTTACTCCAAAAGATCTGGAGAGCTTCAGGTTAAGGTGAACATTTTCAGATGGGTGAACATTTTCTGTCAGTTTGGTTTTGATTCTCCTTTATCAAAATTCGTAAAGTCCTGTGTATGCAGGACGAAAAGGGACTTAAAAGAAAAATCACATGTGGTAGAAATTGAAACTAACAGACGTGGCCATCCAAGGTTTGCTCTCAAAAGCTCAAATTTGAAGTCCTGTGTATTCAGCCATGTCTGTGGAACTGACTTAGGGCTGTCGCCACTTTCTTTCCTAGCAGACTTTATGGAACCCTATATGGAAGTCAGATTCTGCATGGTGATCTCCATGCTGAGAATAGCTGTACCTGTTAGAAATGCCTGGTGCAGATGGCTGAGGGTTTTGTTTTAGTCTGTTTTTGATCAGAATTTACCAGAATTGACAAAGTTCTACATATTCTGGAGAGAAAGAACTTGAACTGTAGAAAACTGAACACAGGATAAAGTGTCACAGACAGATTTTGCCACCCCTAGGCTGGACTAGAGCAAATTCTGCCCTTTTTTCCTCTGGTTCTCTTTCCTTGCACCTTCTGAACTTACCAAGGGTTTGGTTTCGTCCTCGTCTTTGAAATAATGGAGCTGCTCTCCTTTAAGCACAAACCAGCGTGTGTGCCAAGTCTTCACAAAGCCCCCTTGCTTCCTCAGCCACCCACACTTGATGGCAACGTGCCGTCCTTGGCTCAGCTGGGGACTCTCTGCAGAGCCATTGTGCTCTTCCATAATGAGGCCAGCGGCAGAATCTCCTGGTGACAGAGAAAGAGGTGGGAGAGAAGCTGTGTGAGTGTATCTTCGAACTAGGAACCCATTCATATTTCAGTGGAAAAGAAAAACAAACATGACCTGGGCTACTCAGATGTGCATCTTCGTTTGATATACACAGGGACATAGAGGTCTATTCAGAAGGCCAGTTTATACATGCCCAAAGGTTGATTCGTTGTATCCTGGGAACGTTTCCAAACATCATTTGGGCTGGGATGGAGCAAGGCACAATCCAGATGCCAGTCAAAGCATTTCCAACAATGGCTGAAGATAAGGCATGAGGGGACTTGAACCAGGGACTGTACAGGCAGGACCCCGGTGCTTTGTTCTGTGTATCACCAGAGCAGCTCTCAGCCAGAGGGAGCTTTTGGTCTGATCTTTACTGTGTTTCAATACCAGCCAAATAATGGCCAGAGAGGGGCACTGCACCTCATCAGCCTAGCCAGACCATGCGGGCGAGAAGAGCCAACAGGGGACCAGCTGGCTATATATAGCAGATATCTCAGGCTTTCCTTCTCGGCCTGAATTTTTCTCTTCCTGTGAGGGGTGGACAGCAAGCATGCAGATCCCTGTATCTTGGAACGTGGGAACATCTTTTGGAGATGGAATATCCAGCTCAGTTCTCAGGCCATGGACACCAGCTGCTCCTTCCCTTTTTCACCATGGCTACCCTTTGCTCACTCAACAGGAGGAGCACCAGGGAGAAAACAGGCAGGACACCTCCCCTCCCTTCTTTTCCTCACTGGGACCAGAGCAGGTGGCAGGTGAATGAACAGGTGAAGATGAGAAGCAAATCCACAGGGCTCCACTCAGTGGGCCCCTGACAGGATATGGACCTCAGCAAGTGTCCAGCTGTGCCTACCCTTGATGCTGGCCCTGATCCACTTGGCCTTGACTTAAGAGACCTCTGATCTCTGTTGTTTTTCTGCTCCTCAACTGTGCAGCCCTTGCTACTGGCTAGTGGTTGGTCCTCACACTGAAGACACGAAGGGTGAGAGCCTGTATGGTACAGTGGTTAGTCAGGTAGTCTAGAATGTAGGAAACCCAGATTTTTGTCCCCACTTGGTCATGAAGATCACTGGGTGGCTTTGGGCTCCTCCCTGACTCACAGCCTAACCTAACCTGTTGTGAGAGTAAAATGGAGAAGAGGATCAGGTAGGTCACCTTGGTTCCTCGGAAGAAAGACAGTATAGCACATGTGCACACACGCACTCATGCACATATGCGCACACACACACACACACAATAAGCTGCTGCATGTGTTGAGCAGAGTTTTCTCCGAGGATGGAAACAAATGTTGGGGAGCATGTAGCAAACATCTGTGCATTTCTCTTCGCACAGGAACTTTTAAATCTTAAGAAGCTGGACTAAATTAAGGGGTTGAAAGTAGAAATGAAACCAGACACTCTTCACATTGAAAGCATTTAACTGTGAAAAGGATTTTCTGTCAAAATGTGAAACTCCAGATGTGGTATAAATCTTCATGACTTCCTTTGCTGTATTTGGCTCATGGCTACTCAGACACTCATGAAGGACAAGTGACTCGTTGATGCTTCCCATGCTAAACAAATACAATGATTTGGTTTTGATTTACTTAATGCAAACATCCAAGGAAGTGAAGATGTCAACAAGGTACATTAGAGAATTTAAGACATTGACCACCGCTTTCCCCCCTTTTCTGGGTATGTTAAGATCCAAGTGGATGCTCTTAACTTTAAAATATAGTTACATTTAAACAGCTTCAGAGGAAGGCAACACAGATGCTCAGGGGTGTGAAAAACAAGTCGTTCAAGGAAAGTAGGGGAGGGACTGGCTATTTTATCCTGCAGAAGAGGAGAGGAAATATGGTAGTTCTTTTCATATATCTGAAAGGCAAAGAGGGCAAAGACTTGTCCTTTCCTGCTCCAGAGAGCACACTAGGCTACATGGGCTTAAGCTGCATGTAGCAGATTTGAGCTGCACATTAGGAGAAATTTGTAAGCTGTAGGTGTGAATGAGCAAAGCAACCAATCACCTGCGTACATGGATGAGCTTACCTTCAGTGGAGGTCTCCTAAGACACTGGACAGCTGTCCGTTGGGGAAGCGCTAACTCTCAATGCCTGACACTGAGCAAGGAATTGGACTAGGTGACCTAGAGAGTCCCTCGAACCCCATAATTAACAGCTGAAAGGGAGAGGGCTCTGGGCAGCTGAGAACAGCAGACATAACTTGCTTCCTCTACAAGATATTTCATCTAGATAGGTTTAAAAACTGACCGTAGGTTTGGTAAACTGTGCTGACCCAAGGATGGGGCTTAGTGGGAATGAAATGCTTTCCCACTGCTGAGAGGTTTCTCATGAGACCAGGCTGTAGGCAACTCAGACACAGAGATAATTTTCCAATAGTGTCATCAAATCTGGGGTTCTTCCAGCTCAGTTCCATGGACTGAAACGTTTATGCTCAGCAGTACTCACTCCTAAGTGTGTCTGGAATCCCAAGTTTAGCCTCCTATCCCTCCTCATCACAACTGCCACTGGTGGTCCATCAGAAACCACCTTCTTTCCTTATTTTCTTAAGTGCTGAAGACATGATGACTGTGCTGGTATAAGCAAGAAGCCACACAAACCTACACACAGACAAGCACAGTCCTCGCATAGACACACATGTAATAGATCCAAAACAACTGGATGGGAGGAAAGGTGGAGGTCCCAGCAACCTTCAGGTGCAGAGGTGCATGACAAAGGGGGCAGTCCAAAATGGCTCATCACAGGTGGAGGCTGGCTGATTCACCTGGCAGCTGAAGCATTCATATTAGATTAGGGAAGGGTCAGGCAATGTGTGGTTTTAGCAGTGTTTTTTGGCTGCAGCTCCGAACCTCCTTCACCCCTGGCTATGTTGGCTAGGGTTGATGGGCATTGCAGTTCAACAGCCTCTCAGGGATCACAGAGAAGACTTGTTTGAAAGCTAATGGTGATACGTTCTTTCATCCAACTGATAGTGGAGGAATGTTCTGTAGGCAAAATCCTGAGTAACTCAAAAACACTCAAAGTTTGCCAACATAATTTCATCTGCTGGCTTTGCAACAGTTGTTATTTCTTATTCCCACTGGCCTTATGCCTTCTTTATCTGCTTTCATTATGTTTGTTATGACAAATTATCTTCCTCTGGAATATTCCTTTTGTAAACATTTCCTGAACAAAGCAAAACCTTTCAGCACATTGTACTACACATCCATGAACCACAGCAGAAGAAACGAAAAGCTCTTTTGATGTACTGCAAAACAGTAGTGAGCATTTGGGGCTGATGTAGTATGCCAAAGACCTGTTTGTTCCAAGAACTTTAATTACATCTTCCAAAGGATAATCCAAAAGATAAGCTTTCTAATAAGACTGGCTAAAGCAATATCTGAAACCACACACACACACACACACACACACCCAGTATCAGTTTTCACAGTAAATAATATCCTAATACAAGTTAATCTCCTGATTAAAACACATTGAAATAAGGGTTGTTTCACCCTTTACTTGAGTGTATTTCTTGAGTGAAGTGAAACTAAATCCAAGGATGTTATTTCACTTACTCTCCTTCTTGCACAACAGCAAACACAAGCAGAAGCTCGAGATGTGCTGTTGTGTGTACTTGGAAAACTAATTCATGTGTTTAGTAAAATATTTTTACTCCATATTTTGATCTAAAAGGCTCAAAGGCTCAATTGAATACAATCAATTCACATCGATCCTATTAGAGCCTGGACATTTCAGTCACACACAGGTTCCACTGAAAACACATAGCTTTCAATGGGACCTCATTGCAGCACACTTAATCTGGATATAGCCCACTGACATATTAGCAAGCTGAGCATACAAGCAAAATCAACAGGAGAACACCTTCTGAACAGTAACAGCACATTGCCAAAGTATCAAATTAAACTTCAGAGATCAGCATAGTAATGGCACACATATAGAACAACGCAAGGCAGAAAACACGGAAATACAAAGACTCGCCAAAAGATCAAAATCTTTGCCTGACACTGAAATAAGAGTCTTAAAGGGGCTGAGTGACCCTCACCTGATAGGCATGGATGGGAGAGAAATTCATTCTGTTCACATTTTGATGCAAACTTGCCTAATGTTGTACTTTTTAACCAATACATGAACCAAAATTCAGGTATTCTCCAATACAAATATGTATCAGGACACTATTGCAAATATTACTGAGAATAGTTTTCACTCCCCACAAATGTGTATAATGGGCTGTGTTGTGCATATTTAGGAAAAAATGCAAGTGGGACAAACTCTGTGTATGTGTGTCTTAAAGTTCAGGACAAACCTGGAAGTTCAAGACTGACAAGTTTATCAAAGTTCAGGGAAAATGTGGAATGGAGAGAAAAACTTAAAGTCCATCATAAATTAGCCTACCCAATCTGGATCTCCAGGGGGTCTGTGATGATGGGAGTTGTAGTCCAGAACTACAACCTGGAGGGGACTGAGCAAGAATCTTCTGCTAGCACATAGGTGGGAACCTGGGACATTCCAGATGTTGAACTCCAATTCCCACCAACCCCAGTAGATGTGGCCAGTCATCAGGGATACTGACTGCTCTAGTCCAAAATCTTCTCATGGACCACAGATGTGCCTCCCAAACTACTTCAAGCTTTCCAGAAGAATGCTAATGCCCATTGTTTCAATTCCAGTTCTCTAATCCAGTGCCTTATTCACAGTAACTTGATGCTAAAGGCAACAAGAACATCGCCACAGAATATTGTATCATTTCCATTCACAATAGCCAATTGTCTATAGCGTGTGCTCCCAACAGAAGTGAACTCTTCATCTTCATTCCTAATTATTTTACTTCATGAATGAATGCTTTTTAAAGTACATATAAAATTACTTCTACTCACTTTTTTATACAGCAACTACACTCTTACATTGTTCATAAAAGGAAATATTCATGATGGAAATACTTCTATTTAGTAACATTTAGTGGCTTTCGGAAAA